TAATTGTTAACATATCACATGTTGACTCCATATCACATGTTGAGCAGGATATCAGCTGTCAGATGCTATCAGATAGTGACTTCCACCATGTCACATTGCATGGCAGCTACTGTCAAATGTTCACTTTTATATGTCAAATATTGTCAAATGATCATTGTATACCATGCCTGCTGACAGGTATTGATTGCTACTTATCAGGTGCTGCCAAATGCTGAATGTTACTGCATGTCCACTGACATGCTGCTACGTCAGATGTCATTAAATGTTAAATGTTATTACATGTTCACGCCTGCTAACAGACACTGTCACTGTGAAATAGAAACTGTTATTGAAAAAGAATCGGATATCCAATGCCTAATCCATAAACACTCCCACAGAGAAAGTTTACTATTAAAATTTATAGTTGAGAATGTGGGGATGCCCATTCACTTCAAGTCTTTTAAGAGACTGAAAACCAAGAGTCTATTAGCAAGCTATTTCCTCTAGGCAAGTTAACTTTGTGACCTTCTTGCTTACAGACCTTTCAGTCCCATCTTCTCTCCAGGTTTATTGACACCAACTACAGTAGAGGAAGTTACATTTGGTTCAATGAAAACATGTTCATTCAGTTCTTATTAAATATTATTCTTTGACATCTTCATAGAGACAAATGAAAAGCAGGAGACCATTGCATAAAATAATGGCTGTAGTCTGCACATTATTTTCATATTTATTCTCAGAGACCATCTAACTTTGAGGGAGATTTGCATAATTGGTATGCTCTTACACAATTATGAATATGTTCTGTGTTTTTAGTACTTTAAAAAAAAAAAGCACAAACCCATCTGGACATATTTGCAAGTCACTTCTTTCTTGATTTATCATCAGTAAAGTCTCAAATCAGACATGAGAATCAGTTACTGAGAGCAGGTTTGCACAGAATCAATGTACAAAGGGACATCTCCTCCTCTTGCACTGGGTGCTAGGACCTCACCAAGAGCATGGAGGTGAGACAGGGGAGTGACCAGAGCATACTATACATCCCACACCCTGCTCAACAGAGCTGTGCATATGTATCTGTGCCTTCAAGTCATCTATCAATTTATGGTGACCCCACAGATTTCATAGGGTTTTCATAGGAAAGGAATACCTAGAGGGTTAGAAGGCTTAGTATGGCAGGAAAGAAGACAGAGAAGGGAAATGAACCGTTGTCAGACCTTGTGCTAAATACTAAGAAACATAATATGTGACTGGGTGCTTATAGAGAAAATAAGAAAGAGATGGCCTCATACTTGTCTGTGACAAAATTTTCTTTTGATTGCTGTAGCCCAGAAGAAGCAACCAAAAGAATGAAACCAGGATGGCCTTTTACAGCAGTGTAGCTGGGTTTTTTTTTTGTTTTTTTTTTAAATTTTACTTCAATCCTTAAGTTTCTTGCATTGCAGTAATTTAAAATTTCAGTTGAGCACTTAGCAATATGGTTTAGGCATCCAGAGAAAAGAGCCAGGGAAAGATCCTAAGGGAATAAGAATACCGCAAATGTAGGTGTTGTAGGTGTGAAGGATTGCCGATGCATCACTCTCAAGAATGCTAGAAAGGAAGGAAAATTTCATTGGGGCATCAGAATGCTTATTTGGAGGACCAATGTCCTCAATGTCCTGTTGCTACACACACTGACTTAGGAATCGCATAGGAAAGGTAGGACATCACAATGAAGAAGTGCACAGCTCCAATTATTTCAACATTTGTATCAAGACTACATCCCTCCTTTTCTGGTTACAATTTAACCCAGCCCCATCTTTATACTCTACTAAAATCCTTCCTTCTTTCCTACACCCCACAATACTTTTTTCTCACTTGAAGCTCATATTTCTGTGCATTTTTCTCTTCTCTTGTCCCATACATTTCTCAGTCCCCACTCACCGCCCCCCACCCATATTTCTCAGCTTTGTCAGAAGCAAAGTGGAGTCAGACGGCACAAGATATTGTTCCAAAGCTAGGAGAGGCAGCAGCAGTTTACTTTTGCCTGAGCCTACAATGAAGGGCAAGACTTCCCCTCCTCTTCCTCCTGCTGTGTTAATGGAAAAAGATTACAGAGTTTATTGCGCATCATTTAACGCTACTGACCACAGTCACATTAATTCTGAAGCCAGATCTTATTGCATGCATGGGGAGCCAAGTGAGTACAACCCAGCTGCATCCTGGACTCCAGATGCACTTAGCTGGCATCTTTTCAAAACTAGGAGTCCGGGACACAACCAGGTTGCACTCGCCTGGCTCCCAGTGTGTGCAATAAGATCTGGCTTCAGAATTTAATGTGACTACAGTACGTCATGCTAAATGACATGCGATAAAACTGCTACTTTTTCATTTTGAATTCAGTTTGTAGCAACAAGTAAAGTGAGGACAAAAGAGGGCAGTAGAAGAAGAGAAAAACCAAAACATGTTAAAAGCAGATGAGAAAGTGGGATGGCAGAAGATTAACTAAACCCATCCCTACCAGAACTAAGTCCTCTTTCAATGTCTGAAGTGAGAAGAAGCTGCCTCTGCCCTGTCCCAGATTCAAAATCTGCCTTTTTGGTAATGGCATTGTGGAAAGAAGAACCAGTATGATGCAGTGGTTAGAGCAGTGGAATACAACTGGGGATCAGGGTTCAAATCTCTGCTCGGGCATGGAAGCCTACTGAGTGACCCTGGGCAAATCACATTCTCTTAGCCTCAGAAGAAGGCAAAGGCAACCACCCCAAACAGATCTTGCCAGGAAAACCTTGTGATAGGTTTGCTTTAACGTTTCCATAAATCAGAAACAACTTGAAGGCACACTACAACATTGTGGAATGAAAGCTGTTCTGAAAGTTTAGATAAATCTCTTTTCCTTTAGACCTTTTGAGAGTATGCTGTAGGTAGGGTTTCCCCCCTTCGGTCCCAGTAGTGTTTCCTCATGTAGTCTTTCGTATCTATGCTCCAGTCCTGTGACCACAGTACTAGCTTTTCTTCTTGTCTGCCTTCAGTTCTCTAGTTCTCAGTGCTCCTAGACACATATTTCTACCCTGTAAAAAGAAGGAAATGCTCTTTACATAGACATTTAACCACACAGCTGACAAACTTCTCTATCTTTGTATCCACCCGCCAAGACCAGAAAAGTTCTCTGTGGCCACTGGAGGATACCATGGAGGGTGTAAGGATGTGGAAGAAACCACACCATGCCAAAGAGGAGTGGTCATTCAAAGCCAACAAACCTGTAACATTTCTAATGATGGTACTGTGGTCATCGTGGGACTCTCTTGGGATCAAACTGTTTAAGCAATGCAGAGTCACTCTGCAGAATGTTAAGCTTATGCTTATGTCTTCTAGCTAAATGGCTAAAAATAGTTGCAGACAGAAAGCCACAATCAGGCTACTGTGAAGAAAGGGGGGAGAAAAAACCTACCTCAGACAGCTGATGCTAAATGCTATTATTAACCTGAATCCTGTCCAAGGATGTCTTAAGAGAAAACCAAGAGAGCAATACTGGATCAGAGAGAGAAAGCTGTCTGACTACAACAAACTGTGATCAGCAGGAATTATGTAGGCTTTTCCACAGATTCCTCAAGAGCTACTGTTCTGTAATCTAGTAAGAAAGCCATTAAAAGCAGTTCTTGGGGCACAAAGAAAACATTTGCTGATTGATTCATATCCTTTGAAATATATCCATGCATTAAGCTTTTTGTGGGAATGCCCCACAGGAGGAAGGTTCTCACATGGATGGCATTATGTACATGCACCTCAGCTGACTACTCTTTTAACCTCGCCCACTGTATAACATAATGGACAAGTATGCACTTAAAACTCTTCATATATAGAAATGAATAATTGTCCTTCTCCCACTCCCTTTTCCTACTCCTTTAACACATGAGATGAAACAATAATAGAAGGGGTTGGATGTGCCGAAAGATAAAGCTACCACCTACCCATCATCCAGAATGCTGAATGCCTCCTCCAAGCTGTCAAAAATTAAAAATAAATTTAAAAAACAAAAAGAACTACTCACCTCACCCCACAATGGCTTTTCAGAAACTGGCAAAAAATATTTCCTTTTAGATTTGTGTTTGGTTTTTGAATTCTTGTTTTGTTGAATGGGGTAGGGATATTGATTGCTATTATTAGTAGCATCTGCTATTATAGATGATGATTAATATTATTATTGATGCTGTTGTATAGTGTTATTTCCTGATGATCCATGATTTTACTGTTAGATTATATGTGAAGCATTCCATTGCTAATGAAGTTTTATCTTTATTCTTAGCTGTTCTGTTTTTAGAAAAGGTAGGGTATTTGTCATACACACACACACACACACACACACACACACTGCTGCAGGTCAGCTAAAGATTAGCAGGTAAATATATAACACTCAGCAGCAGGATAGTAACAATCCAGCTGCCCAAAGTCACATTAAACTCTCCATAAAATCCCTTTTCTCTCACACAGTTCCAGATTAGGCATCATAATAACAAACAGTACTCATATTCTCTTTCAGATGAGGCTTGTTTTTGGTGGTTATGCTTTTTAAGCTGGTGCCAGTCAGCATACAAAATCCAGCAAAACTTTTCTTTTTCTCTCCTTGTTGACTAATGAATATATCTCCTTTCTACCAGCTTTCCATGTAGTCATGAGGGTAAGTACAGGGATGACCTTTTTGAACAGAAGTGAGAATTGTGAATCCCCACAGATGTTGTTGGGTTGTAGCTTTCAGCAGGTCTAGCCTGCATAACCAATGGCAAGGAATTTGGGGGGCTAACCTGACTTGGAATTTGGTAAACACTTTAAAACTTGTAGTAGTGCATAAAGAATCATAAAAGAAGGGGAAGAAATATGTAGCATCCAGATATAAGGTGTGACCATTTTTATTTTGGATGTTTTTGTTGTTATGTACCTTCAAGTCACTTCCGAATTAGGGCAGCCCTAGGGTAACCCTATCACAGGACTTTCTAGGGCTGAGAGTATGCGACTTGCACCAAGGTCACCAAGTGGGTTTCCATGGCCAAACAGAGAATCGAACCCTGGTTTCCAGAGCCAGAGCTTGATGCTCAAACCACTATGCCACCCTGGCTCTCCAAATGTGTTTACCCTCTTGTTTTGTGTCTTTTAGGTTATAACGTTTTAGTAGAGAGCCTTTTTGACTAAAGGACAAATGTTTTTAGCCTCTTTTTAGCTAATAAGTCTTCCTAT